TTAAACAGATATGATATTTTGCTTTCTGATATAATTTGTAGAAACAAGTTATATAGTTGAAAAGATATAATTGAAGTGAGTGAGCAGTCTTGATAAAATAAAGAGATGAGATTGAATTACTGAAAAGAAGTATATTAATAAGAGCTGCAATCAGTGACAATCTACATCAAATTAATATTAACAATTAAACTGTTTTCTTTATTTCAAGATTATATTTCTACAAGCTTCTGAAATCAGTATCATTCATTGACTAGAATTTCAATCTAATTTTAAAAATGAATACTCTCATTGACTCTGATATGCTAGATCTTTCTGAACTTTTTCATCTAGTAGGTTTAATGAGACAATTCACTGATTTTAAAGAAAATTCAATATTAATATTTCTTAATCATAGCAGGCATACAATGACATCAATGAAGAATACTCAACAGACAAGAAGAACAGTGAGAAGGACTTAAACTTCTCATTAATAAGTAATTTATCAAGAAGGCATCAGAGAACTAGATATCTCAATACTGAAATGTATGAGAAGAAGATTCACTCAACAGAGCAATGTCTGTAGCTAGAGATTAAATGAATGTATTTTCTATTCTTCATAAAGAAAAATCTTGATCAGACAGTCATAAAAATAACTAAAATCAATGATAAAATATTATATACATTCTCATTCAGCAGAATAATAATGCTGGACACAGTCAAGACCTGGAAATCAAGATCATTAAAGAAAATAAAGATAAGTATTTAGATTTAGCAAAATAGCAACTTTTCAATAAGATATAATAAATTCTTGATAGAAGATCATAAATCTCTGATAAGAATTCAGCAGAGAATCTTAGAGAAATCTAAACTTTTGTAATTAAGTTAGCTAACTTAATTTCAATATAGAATTATATTTAATAGAAAAAGATAAAGAGCAGAGCAAGTTCAGAGATAATCAGCTTATATAATTATTATAAAGAAATAATTATTTTTAATTACTTTTATAAGTTATTCATCACTGAAAAGTTCTTTCTGATTTTTTATTAAGTGCAGAGAGTTATTGACTTTGACTGATTCTCTGAGTGAGAATAATAATATATGAAACATAAGTTAGCATAATTCAAATTGTTCTGAAAACTAGAAACTGATTTTAAAAACAGAGATATATATCAATCTAGTAACTCAGGTCAAAATATTTAATAATACTGATATGAATAAAAATTCCACTGCAGTTATAATACAATGATAAAATATTCTGATATTTTAAGATCTGATAAGCAATGTTTCTGAATATCAGAAAATTATCAGAGATGACTTTGCAGAGATGATTCAGAATATCTCAACAGTTAAAAAGAGATATGCAGTGAAAGATATATAAAAGAAGATGTGAAAAAAGATTAAATTTTCAGAGACACTTTCAGTAAAAGACAGATAATATAGAGATTTCTGACATAATCTATTTCTATTTCAATATATTTAGTTTTCTATGCATTTTATATATAAATTAGTTAATATATACTTTATCATATATTATTAGAATACATCTGTCTTGATATTCACTGATAAAAGTTATCATATCATCTATCTTATATTTAATTATAGTTATAGCTGCAGCAGAATCACTGATTTCACTGTATTAGAAAATCTTCTTATTTATCTTGAATTCTATAGATATATTTCTGACAGTGCATTGAACACTTGTTTCTAGTTAATAGAAATGATTTTGTATTCAAAATAGCTGTAATTCAATTAATGATAGTCTGTGCAAAAAGTATTAAGATATGAATGAAATTCATCAGATATGTCAATTATACTCAGAGATAAAATATGAAAATATTTGCATTCATTGTATAATAATCTGTAAAGATGAATCAATAATATATATAAAAACTCACATTTTTCTTTTTCTTCTTTTCTTCTTTCTTCTTCTTATAATAATAATACATTATAAAGATTATTCTCAGCTCACTCAGCTTATTCTGTTCTTCTTTATTTCTCAGCTCAGTTAGTATTCTGTCAGTTGTAATAGAAAGCTTTTAATTAAAAAAGTTCTAATCAAGATATCTTATCTGTGTAGTATATCAAGAATATCAGTAATTTATTATATCAGTATTAATCACAGTAATAATAATAACAGTAGCAGTATTAAAATGATAAGTAACATCTTCAAGTATATCTGTGTTACTGCTATAAAGACTTAAGAGAAGAAAGCAAGCAGCTGTCTGAATACTCTGATAAAGCAGTCTGATAAATAAACAATATATAAGCACTGTATTAAGTATATTTTTCTTCATCATTTAAATATCACTTACAATAAGATAAAGAAAAGCTTAAAGTCTTATATAAATTATAATTATGAGAAAAAGAGATATATAATTATCTCTGAAGAATTAAAAGAATAAGTTAATAATCTAATTCAAACTCATAACTTTTATCTTTCTGTATCAGATAATTTCAAGAAAATAATAAAGAAAGCTATGTTAAAATTAGTAAAGAATCTTTTAAAATAGATTAAGAAAGTTAAAACTTACTGATAGAAAGTAAAAGCTTAATATATAAAGAGTATTACTACTACTCTGAAAACTCTGAATATTATCATCAGTATCACTGAAAAAGCTAAAATCAAGATTGAGAAGATCAAGTTAAATATTGAAAGAATAAAATTAAAAATTAAAAAGAAAAAAGTTACTACAGAAAAGAAGAAAATCATGATTAAAAAGATAAAACTTAATATTAAAACTATTAAGCTTGAAGTGTATTACAAGTTTTTGAAAATGATAGCTAGTTATATTAAAGAATAAAAATCAGTGATGAAGAATCTTATAAATTTAATAAATAATATTAATACTGAAGCTAGCTGTATTATTATTAAGATATATAAAATAATAAAGCATATTCAGAGATTTACAGATTATCTTAATAAGAATTCAGTTATAGTCAGTGATAGCAGCAGCAGTAATGAGAAATTTAATAACAGTGATAATTCTCTTTCTATCTCTCTCACTGATATTTCTGCTACTACTGTTGATTCTTCTTCTTCTTTCTTCTTTAATCTTCTGACTTCAGTTGATTCTCTGACTATGAGCAGTACTGAAACTCTCAACATTCTCAGTGAAAAAGTAAGTTAGAATCAGTGAAATGATTCTCAGATTTATACAGAAGTTGATAATAATATATATAGATAAATAAATACACAGCTCTCAATTTCTCTGAAACTCTCTCTCTTAAATAGTGAATGATTATTGATACTGATTCTTCATAAACTTCAATATTAATTCACAAGTTCTCTGAAATAAATGTTGATGTGAATATGACAGAAAATGATGACAATGATATAGAGATGATTTAAAGAATCTGAGAGAAATTACAGAGAAATGTGACAGATTTTCAATAGAGAATGATTCTGATGAATGAGACATTTTTTAGAATTAGTGATTATATAGATAGGAATCAGTGACATTGTCAATATGATGATGATTTTGTTCTGTTCATAACTCATTTACAGTGATTCCACAGCTAATCCACCATTATATTATATTTTACAGTTCGGCGACGGTGTCGGCGACTGGCACGGCGGAACAACCATAACCCGGTCATATAATAAGCCTACGTTTTTCCGGTATGGATATGATACACTGGTTAAAGAGTTGGGAGATGGTTGTTTAATCGTGCTTCCCAAAGACGTCACCGCACACGAGTAAGTCCATCCGACGAAGCATGTTGCTGTGGACTAACATCGACATAGATGGGAGAAGAAAATCCCGCTGACAGGTCCGACGCACGATTATGCAATAAAGTCGCTGAAGGAAAGAGGCATTTTAGAGGAAGCTGCCAGGATAGATGCTGAATTTGTTGCAACTGCGATCTTTCAGCATGTCTGGGCATTACTGGATTTCCTGCCTATTGACCGCGTCCAGGAAACATGACATCAACATCGGGATACACTCTTGCTCGCTTTAGCTGATGCAACACAGTTGCACGTCTTGGCTGACGCGGCGATTCGTATGTGGCTTACCAAATGCGCTGATTTTGACAATTACTTACTTCATATAGTACATCAGCAATTTCAAAACCGTCCGATTGACAACTTAGTTTCGCCTGTGCCAGGTCGTGCACCACCGATCGCAGGCTACGTTTCTAACAATGAACATACAGAAGGTTAGAGGTATGGACGCACTATAATTACACTAACTAACGCTTAATAGAATTCGATTCTCCATCGCTTGAACAGGAGGCTCTAAACGTCTCCTTCTTTCCCTCGAATTCAGGAACAATGCAAGGCGCCGGATCAACACAAGTTGATATGAACGGAAATATGCAAAGCCAACCGCGCAGAGGACGGGCTGAGAGAGAGAAAGACGCAGCGCGACAAAATATCCCCACGGCAGACGACACATTCGACCCAGCGACCTTTGGGCAAAACCCCAACTTTCGGATCCCCACGGCAGACGAGACTTTTGACACCGCTGACTTTGGGCAACGTGCCGTAATGCAGTATTATATCCCGCCATGATACCAAGGGAGACTTGCGGAACCTACGAAGTAAGCGGACAAGCACACAGACAAGATGACGCGAAAACGGCGGCCAACGGCGGTTTTGAACACACGAAGAACTGTAGTCAACCGATCTAGGGATTCAGGTATCCAGGCGAATACCTAGGATACCGCGGACCTAGTATGTGGAGATATGAACACAACAACAGTTTTTGGTAGCAGCCAAGGTTCATTTGTGATATGTATGGAATACCCTTCTTGGAGCAAACCACCCGGTACAATCTCCGGGTTCTCAGATAGAGGATATATCGGAACCAGATACATTGACCGCGACTTATTGATGATTTTTTTTTGATTTAGAAAAGAGCCACATTGACCAGTCCATATCCTAGTAATACATCATTGGTCTTATTAGCAATCTAAAGAAAGATTGATCAAAATAAAATCAAGTGCAAGACAACCTTACCATAAAACCCATTTCGGTTACCATGTCTTTCAGTTCTTCATTGAGATCCTTCAATGTTGTATTGCTTATTGTCCCCTTCATAAGACTCAACATCTGTAGCAATTTTCCTTTTTATTTCGTTTCGCTTTTCTTCCGCCTTTTCAGTAAGCTTCGTCATTGCAAATTGTAATCGGGCACTCTTTGGAGGAAGAATGTAAACTTGGAATAGCAAACGGATGCTAGTAAATGCCTGCACACGAATTTAGCTCATTCTCAGAGTACGTTACCGTAGGTTTGGAAGATAAAAGTGCTTATACATACAGAGAGGAGAGGAAATGCGTCGTATTGAATGTTCAAATGGCAGTAAGTGATAAGAGAACGTTGCGGGACAGAACAAGTAGCCTGGGGCAATATGACAGAGAGGGGTTTTCAAATATCCCACCAAAAAGCGGTAAGTCAGCCACGGCAATAAAATGCTCTTAACCCTTGAGGCGGCCACCGAACTTAGTAACCCACCCAATGTGTCAGGGAGTTTCGGCATATCTATCATGTGGTTAGGAATCATCAAATTCTTAAAAAAATGGCTGCTATTCCGAAGAACAGGGAGCATACACCGATTGACATCGCCAATGCTAATTCTAAATAGGTATGTCGCGGCGATGAAAATGTACCCTTGGCTTTCATTGATTTTATCTCGGACCCTATACGTACGGACGTCGCTGCAAAAAGTTTTGACTTGCCAAAACACTAAAAAGCCACATCTTCTCTTACTAGTGCCTGTGCCTGAGGCTCACCAATATTATAGGCATGAGACCACTGTTGATTGTTAAAGAGTTTAGTTATAGGCTCACTCTGAAACTATCTCAATGTGATCTAGTGTATATTCTAGCGCGAGACAAAACTTTTTGCAGCGGCATCCGTACTCCACACGATTGAGAGGGCTGCTGTCAACACCTCTGCTATATCATTTCTATTTGGAAGACAGATGTTCCGCAAACGCCGGCCCAGTGGATGCTGGCCGAATGGATGTTGCCGACTGGTGATTCGAATTTTGCCCTGTGCGACAACCTAACTGTGACATTGTATGTTAATGGCATTGAGTCTTACGAGGTGCGCGACGGGATGTGGGGTGGTTCTAACCACCTGGATTTCGATATTGTTAATTCAGCAGTGGCGTTCGGGGCTAGTTACTTTGTTAGGAGGGAAGTCACTTAGTCAGCAAGACATGAGTCAGTATGATGAGAGACTATTTCTGTAATTTCAGTCCTCATGATGTGTTTCATCTTTCCGTAGCTGCATATTGTTAGGGAACCTTCCAGATGCTTCTATGCCAGAGGTAGCAAGAAAAGAGCAGCATTACAATGCCTAATTCGGAGACTCGGTCCTTCGCTTTTCCTCCGCTCCTGAGCTGACCTGAATATGAATCCAGACTGAACTCAGAGAATTTCCTAGAGTGTACTGTACAGTACTGTAAAAATTATCATATCTTTTGAATGAAAGAATCCGCATTTAAGAGTAAAATGACCCCTATATTATTGGGGTGACTAGGCTACGCTTTCGATCGCGGGGCCAAAAAGCGGCAATCTTGCGGCCACTGACCCTCGTTGGAAATATCCAAGGAGGCCCTGCGCCAAGAGGGCGAATACCAAAGTGCAGCATAGTGCTGTCGGACTGCGGTTTAATATATTTCCTTTGGGTTGGGGACCTACCTTTCAAGCCAAAAGCAGCTCACACAACGATTAAATTTTTGCCTTACGGATTCTAGGAAATGGATGTTGCTGAAGGCCGCTTGAATCATTCCTACCTCTACTTTTGCACCTAAATCCGAGACCGGTTGCTTCCGCACGAATGGAGGACGCACTCACACAGCAGGAGGATGTTTTTTTTTCCAGTCCGCCGCCAAGGACGACGAATTCTCGTTTTTTCTACACAGTCCTCAAACAGTCGGATAAGGGGAAAGCCCAGCCACATCAAATGTTATTAGAAGCTAGATTTCAGTAAGGCACTGTTACTTACCCATTCTGTGGATGAAAAGAAATTGTCTGCATTCACAATGGCAAATGGTCACAGCTGCTTCTGGATCAGATCGGGCGGAAAAAGTGCTGTCTTGCTTACATAAGCCACTCTTTGGCATTACCGCTCATCTTAGTGGGTGCCCCTTAGTTGTTTGATAATAAAGTGCTCATTGATCTATATTCTGGGCAGGTAGCTGGGTAGTTTCGGGTAGTTCCTATCCATGGATTTATCTCAGCATGCTCAGCCTCTCTTCTCGATATTTTCGGATTAGCACAACCAACTAAACTCCTTTAGACTTCTGCCAAGTCCTGCTAACTTCTGAATCAATAAGAGACTTCATACATGCTCACAACCTAATATCTTATAGAGAGTCTGAGAAGAAATAGTTTCATTATATATAGAAAATCAACTTCACTCATATAAAATATTTGATTGATTTTGAAATTATACATCTACTCTAAATATCTATTTGATCATTATCAAACTAATATTTTTTAAATTCTCAGTTATTCTGCTATTATCTCTGCTATTTTACAACTCACTATTTCTTCTCATTATATTACAATTATTAATAAAAGACAGTGTATCTTTTGAATCTCAAGACACTTAATATCAGACACACTTTAGTTAATATTCTTCATCACTTAAAGATGAATTCTCTCTACAATCACTACAGTCTCTCAATAATATAGATAATAAATATAATATATCAGATAGTGACTTAATAGAGCTTGAATCTATTAATACTTCTTCAGAATTTAAGATCACTGATACTGATACTGATATTTTATAAGCTTATTTATAATTAAACTGCTGTGACTCATAGTATCTGTCTATAATGCTTTATAATCAGCAGAAAAGATGATTGAAATTATCTTATATTATTAAAATATTACAGTAAAATAGTTGAGAAATAAAGATTTTTATAGAGACTTGAATTTAGAGTTCTGATATCTTGACTTATTAATAATACAGTACTTCTATAAAGCAGTGAAATATACTATATTCAGTACTTTTCAATGTAGAGATATTTAATAATAATTAATATTGTGACGGGCTGCGCCTGATCAATTATATAGACTATTCTGTTACACTTCACAGATTTCAATCACTTCATTCTCAAATGTGTACGCTTCTATTCTCAGCCATTCTCAATCACTGATCCTCGGCCGCTATGAACGCGCGTATATTCTCCCACCCTGAAGCTCCACTGCGTACGCCACCACATATGTGTATAAATATTCATCTTGATTGCTGATTCTCACACTTTCTCTTTCTTTCCTTCTCTAATATTTTTATCTTTGTTATATAAGACCTATCAATATTATATCAATCTATTCAGCATAGACTTCTTATACTATAAAAACATTCATCATCTTCTTATTAGAAAATGATTATTCACACATTATCTTCTCATCAGAAACAATTATTTATCAAGAGATATTCAAACATGTAACAATGCATAAGAAATAGAGAAACAGTTAAGCAGACACTGAGTTCTTAGATAGAAGCTGCTTATCAGTCATTCTGATCTTATAATAAGATTCTATAAAGAGAATATCAGTGAAAGACCTGAGAGTTCTGATACTCAGATATATAAGATATTTATACAATTACACTTCTTTAAATTTCACAGATATCACATATCTGATAAATGATATAACTATGTCTAACAATAATATGAGAGAACCTCTGAACACAAGCATAGACACAGTGTCACAGTGACTCTAAGCAATGTTGAAACTATAACAATAATAAATAGCTGATATACATGCAACTCAATAATATTAATACAAAGAGATTCAATAACTAATTCACACAATTTCAACACCTATAGAATTGAATACAAAAGCACTGAAAGAATACTTAGATGCTTCTACATATTTCAATACTTTCAATCTCACTCTCTACTTATCATGAAGAATGAAAATGCTCGCGAAACTGAGTGTAGATGAAGATATCATCAGTTTATTAACTAATCAAGATTAATATATCAATGAATGATTGAAAGATTGTATGAAACAGAAGTTTTATTCATGAATGAAAGCATGTGAATCAGTATTATGAATATCTGACAATATCATGAAACATCTTGATATTCTGTTTCAAGACACTGCCATGCAACAGAAAGTATTAGATTAGCTATAGAGTGTCTGACAGAGAAATATTCCTCTTATAATATTCATCTCTAACTTCAATATCAAGATTCTAGAAGCAGGTAATCAATCTTGAAAGAATTGAATAAAGATTAGCATGCTCAAGAAGACATTAACTTTCAAACTCTTATAAGTTCTTATAAGTGTAGACAAAGACCAGACTTATGAAGGCTTCTGCATACAGCTTCAGACAATGAATGACTGTCTTACTAAGCTCAAGAATATACAGAACAGTAATAGAAGATATTACATCTCAGTAACTCATACACTTATACTGAGAAATAACAATAATGCAGATATCATGAATTGAGTAGACTTGAATGTCTATATATAAGCAAGAGTCTCTGCTATCTGAACAGGCTTCTGAGTTCCTGAGATCACTCTCAAAGAAGTCACTGATCA